ACTCCAGAGAAGAATGGATTTTCCATATTTTCACCTGCGATGCAGATTTCAAATAACTCCAACATTAGTAAGTACTGGTATTTTAAAATGAGTGAGTAGGTACTCCATACCCTTGGGGTGCCCACCCCCACAGTGTTTTGCACAAAATGGGGAGCAGAAGCTGGGAGAACAAGAAGAGTTGGCCGCGTGTTGGTGCTGCTGCAGCACAGGCAGCCGGGAGTTGGGGACAGGGAGCTTGCTGGAGGAAAAGGCTGGTCTGTGAAGAGGTGGTGAGCAGTGAAGGAACGCTGTCACCAACTGTACTGCTTGGGTTATGTGCTTGGGATTGCAACTGCTTTGCTGCTCAACCAGTTTCCTTTTCAAAAGCTGATCCATGTGTTACATGTGTGGAAATACAGAAATCCTCTTGATTTTATTTATTGTGTCACAAAAATCGGTCTGGGTTATGACAGACCCTCTGGGTAGCAAGGCAGGCTTTTAACATCATCTGAACTAGACCCAAATCAGTCCTTAAAATAAAGGAGGCCCAAAGAACTGCAGCCATGTATGCTCTCCCTGGCAGTCAATCCTCTTGGTGTCTACTTCCAATGCATGGCCTAGCTGATTTTTTACCAACTTATTGCTAACATGGTAGGTCAGTAAAGAATATCATGGCATCGTAGAATAGTTTGGGTTGGAAGGGACCTTTAAAGGTCACCTAGTCCAACCCCTGTTGCAAAGAGCACGGACACCCTTAACCAGATGAGGTTGCTCAGAGCCCCATCCAACCTGACCTCAAATGTTTCCAGGGATGGGGCATCTACCACCACTCTGGGCAACCCGTTCCAGTGTTTCATTACCCTCATTGTAAAAAATTTCTTCCTTAGATCCACTCTGAACCTACCCTCTTTTAATTTAAAACCATCACCCCTTGTCCTATCACTGCAGGCCCTACTAAAAAGTCTGTCCCCATCTTTCTTGTAAGCCCCCTTTAATATTGAAAGGCTGCAGTACGAAATATGAAAATAAATTAATAAATGATGTCAAATGCCTGAAACAAATTGCTAATGAAGAACATGGACTTTGGTTTTGGTAGACATTGTGTAGGAAATACATTGAGGAAAAATGCTATTTAGTCCAGACAAACTATGGAAAGAAAAGCAGGATGCTTTGAATACGCTTTTCATGAGTACAGTATGCACTCAGCTCATATGTTGCTGTGTTTATGAATTCCATTGCAAAGTTACTGCAGTATTATAAATAATAAAATAATCTTCTGAAACCACTTTACCTGGCTTTGTAGACGATACCCCTTAGCAAATACTGGGTGTATACAGAATTCTTATCCCATCAAAATGTAAATTGCAGACTGATGTTACATGGTGAGCTGTGTCACGCCTTTTAAAAGTAACAAAGAATATCAGTGGAAAGCAAGAACATCAAGGAGAAAAAAAAAGAAGAGAAACCACACTATTTAAATTTGAAGAAGAATGTATCTGACAGCTGAGTGAACAAAAAGAATAGGCATCAAAGATGTCTGCGCCTTGACAAATGTTGGGAGGAATCCCTCGCCTTTGTTTGGACTATCCGTAGATGTGAGTTCATTATCAAGCAGTTCTGCGTGCGTGACTGCTTTCATTTTCGATAAAGTAATGCTCTTTTAGGGATGTCAGTAAGCAATAACCTTGCCTGTGGAGGGATATAGGATGCGATGTTTTGTAAAGTACTTCCAAATTTCTATTATTAATGAAAGGCTCGTAGTTTGGCTCTTTTGGGGGCTTTTTTTTACTGCCTTTTTGGTGGGGTGAGGTGGGGGAAGGCACTAAATCTGACAGTTTACTAGAAACAGTGGTACGTGGCATGGAACGCTATTAAGGAGATTATGTTATCTCCTAGGAACAGAGAATGCTGCGGTCAACGGGAAATCAATTTCCGAGGGTGCTACAGTAAATTTGTCTTGTAACTGGAAACTTTCTAATTGCTGCCCCAAGGGAAGAGTAAGCTGAAAACCAGGCAGATGGTTTCTTCCCCATTTCCCTCCTTCTTTGATTCCGTGTAAATTATTTCTAGCTTCCTAGTAACTTCGTGCGTTAAACGTTTGCAAATGTTTTAACGCTATTATAGTTGCTCTCACTTGTACAGTATCTTCGCTGTTCAAAAGCCAGATGTTTTTCAGCAGGTTTTGGGAAAGATTTCAATCTGGCCTCTTTAGATTGAGCCACTATGTCTAACTATAGCATTAGCAATTAGTATGAAGGAGAAATTGTTTTTTATTCAATGCTGTACAGCAGAAAGATTGTACCTTTTTTTTTTTTTTTTTCAAGTGGGGACTTCAAGGAGAGGGCTTTTATTTTCTGTTTCATCAATTCATTGAGACTTTGATTACTCATGTCATCTGATTCTGGCGTCAAAGAGGTAGCCTAGTTTTTATGACTTACGATTTTATTTATGATTTACAGTTAAAATTCAATAGGATGGAAAGTGCCCCATTTCCTTATAAGAGTTTTAGGAAATATTTGGCTGGGGTGAAATCTGCAAAGATCAAATGTCTTGAACATTGGCTTTCTTTGCTCTGAAAGTTTGTCTGAATGCAGGTGGTAATCTATGAAAACTAAATTGAAAAACCTAACAGAAAAACAAGGCACAAAGAGCGTATTGTGGTCAAGTTCCAGCTTCAGCAAAGAGCAGAAAGGCCTGCTTGAAATACTCAGTGGAGTTGGAGGCTGAGAGGTGTGATACAAGTGTGAGCTGTAGGTTGAATTTGGAGCCCCTTGAAAACTCCGCAGTATCATTAAATTCCTACAAAATGTCAACATTTTGTTTAGGAAAAAAAGTTGGGAGGAAATTGTTCAGATAAGATAGAAAAAGTCATCTTTTTTTTTTTTTTTAACTACACTGTGCTTCAAAAACTTTTAAATTTTTTTTTTTTTATTAGAGTAGATACTTATGTACTGTTTAGTCCTAACCATCACAGGCACACATGATCAGATAATATACGAAGTACTTATGAGCAAACTATGTCAATTACTAAATCATCTACAATACCTGCCACAAATCAGTTGCTAAAAAACCACGCGTTATCACACTAGCTGCTAATTGTTAAATTTAGAACTGTCTAAATACCACTCATAATAATGATTAATTAATTACTGGTTGGAATATCAATCACTAAGATTTTTTTTTTTTTGCACCCTAATTTAAAAACAACAATGGAATTATTTTGAATACTGGTAAAATGAGCACGAACTGAAATATATATGTCCCAAAATCGCTTTCATTTCTTAAGAAAATTGTGGCTCAGTGAGAAATTGCATAATTTTGTCTTTTGAACTTAATGGCACTTTTCCTTGTGTTTGTGCTTTTAAATTGAGAGTTTCCTGTAAATGGAGATAATTATTTTCAACTGGAAAAAAAAGAAGATTGTTATGAAATAGTTGGCAAGTGCTTGAAAATCTTCAAAGGGGTAGAACCATGTTCATATTTTATCTTCAGTGCAGCAAGTTACAGAAATACATGGTTGCCTTTGGTGATAATTACCATTGTATTAGTATCAGATCTGTGAAATGTTTTGAAAATTTGTGTAAAACCTTCATGAGCCATCGGAAGCTCTTATAAATATTATGATGGTCAGCAGGTACTTGTTTTACTGCAGTACCTGGGAGCTGTAGTCACATGCTAGGATGCAAATTTGTTTTGCCCTGTATAAACTGAAACCCAAAGGATAGACTTTGCTTTAGCTGGTTAGAGCCCGGCTCTAGTTCACACAGGTAGTAACTGTGGTCACTCGAATCACTAATCCCTCCTCAGCCCATTAGGTAAACATATGCTTATAATTAATTAAAATTAAGCTTTGTTGATGTGCATTTTATTTCTAGAAAACTACTTCTATATCCCTTCTCTGGTTAAAGAAAAAAAAAAAAAAGGATGGTATGTAGCTTTCAGACTTGTGGGTCGGGAATAACTTATGCTTTGGGATGTACAGGTGGGCAGCAGCATGCACTGTCTGGTCTTGTTTGGGTTTGATCCAAAACAGTTTCCCAGTTTCACTGCTTTAAAGTAGCAATACCATATCTAACCTCTTAGTAGAGGAGAACATGATTGTATATCCCTTTTCTCAACAACCAAGCCGTAAATGTGCCTGTTTTCTATTCATTTAACATGCTTAGATGAAACCAAACTGGTATAAAGCAGGGGCTTAAAATGAAATTAAAAGAAGAGTATGAAAAGCTCAATTTCTTTCTCGCCTCCACAGCCGAGTCTGGGTTTTTAATTTAAGGGGAATACTCTGATTGCTGCTTTGAGCAGCTGCTTAGGGAAAACAGATCTTCTAAATCTTATTCTTCGTTCCTGATGCTCACTTTGGGTGTGTTACTTAGGATTCTGTTTACAAAGCACTCTTTCGAGTGTTTGACAAAAAGCAGTGATTACTCACAGGAAGTGCTGTTTTTCCAGTTTTTTATATGTTAATGCTCACTTGAAATTTTCATGAAGCATTCCATGTGAAGTGTGTGGTATAAAATGTTTCCTGTAATAAAACTTAAAACCGCTATAGAAAAAGTGACTTTGGTGTGAGTGTATGGAGTATATATCTTCTTCATCAGAGAAATAAAATTAAGAAAAAATTAAGAAGTGGTATGTTGTTTCCAGAAGTAAATTAATCTGCAATTCTGATGTTTTATCATTAAAAATGTGTAATATGTAAGTATTTTTATAAAGAACCACCACCCCTCCTTCCCCCCAATAAAACCAGAGCAGCTCGTTGAAAGTCTTGTTACTGTACATAGCTTTTCTTTATTGGACCACTGTTTTAAAATACTTCCATAGTACTCTATGTTGTAAGAAAATGGTGCCCAAATGCAGATGAGCTGGTTCCTCAAGAATAATTGGTCAGTAGGATTTGGGAGTGGGGGTTGTTTTCTTTTCATATCTGTATGGTGTGTAAAATATGCCACGTTGTGATGACAGTTACTTTTTGTTTATTTTTGTAGGGTTGACCCAAGGACCATTTTGTCTTGCAAGAATCGGTTAGCAAGATCTGCATAGACCTGTTCCTAAGGAGAAACATGTCTGAGATCGACTATGAGAAGTTAGCTGAAATAGGTAAATATTTTTTATTATACTTCAAATGGCATCTGTGTAGAGTTATGGGTGATTTAATAGAGCATCTTCAGTAAGCGAGAGGCTTCACCGACATTTTGTAATACTTCTTGGAGCAATCCAGTATGAGTTACAGCCACTGTACTGATGTGTACCTTATTAAAGCCATTAGGGTTGAAGGTTAGTTTAATACATGCAGCTTTTATGAATTATTGGTAGATGTTCCTAGTGCAATCTAGGCTATTGGAATATCACCATCATCACATATTGTGGCACAAATGGGAGTCATTACTCTAAACAGACAAGTGTTGAATGAGCATAGAGATTGCTGTATTGCATGTTATCTCCAAAGATGTTAGTTCAGCTGAGGCATTAGGGGGCTCATCATTCTGAAAGATCAGTGTTACATTTTTTTTCCTTGAGTTTTTGAGGATGCCAGGCTGAACACCAGAGCAAGAGTCTTCCAGAGCAATTTTTTTTCCTTACCCTGCAACTTCAGTCTCCCTTTCCCTGTCCCTCCCCTTAGCTCTGATTTCTCCATGTTATGACTTTCAGCAGCAGCAAGTTGGCCTAAGCTGGCCTTTTTACTCCTCGGGCATGATTCAAAATCCACTGTAAGCAATTTTCCCCTCAGCCTTGGCAAGCTCTGGATCAGGCCCCTCAAGCTGTCTCCCAGCCTGGGTTGAACTGTGTTAGCAGTGTGAGTAGTAACAGAGGATCCTCTGCTATAGTTCATGGAGCAGGGCAATAAACTCCTCTGTCATTTGCAGGAGAAAAATAGAGCTGAGTTCTCCCTCAGTTTGGAACAATGAATCTTCCTTTTTATTTGTGTTTGTTAGGAAACATCTCTTGAGCTCCAGTTCTCTTGTTCACATATTAAAAAAACAAAAAAAAAAAGGAAAAGAAAAAGAATATAAAAAGAATTACCTTACTAGGTACGGGTTAACTAGCTTTTCAGTAGATACAGTTACTGGTGGGACTTCTTTAGTCCATGTGAGTAAGTGCAGTACAGATGGGCATGTGTATTTACTTTGCCCCTCTTGTTCTTTGGCATATCTCAAAGCCAGATAGCTTGGTATCTATACTTTGTTACAAATCCTTACCCCTGCTTTTTGGGCACCTGTCTGTTTTTATGCATAGTACAAAATAATTTTTTACAGAAGTGGTTAGCCTCTGCCTCTCTGTACCAAAGGCTGTAGTTAACATATTGGATGTTTCTGTTGTGTTGAATATACATTTCACTTTCAATAAAGCCTGTTACATTTCAGTGGGTTATGATAAATGGTTCACAGCTCCTGCTTCACATCCCCACAGACTAGCATTTTCTATTTCTTTTTCTCTCTCCTCTTTGCAACTTTTTTTGTTACTGTAGGTGGTTACGGTGCTCAGACATGAAAAAAACACCCTAATAAATAAAATAGTGTTTTCCTTGTTCTGAGTTTTAACATGACTTAAATATTTTTAAAAGGAAAAAATTGTGAAATTCATATACTTCATTATGTTTGTAGTATTCTTCGCAGCTCTTGGGACAAAAACATTCTTTAAAGTGAAAGAATATTTTTCCAGTTAAGGTTAGTGTAGCTTTTTGTATACAATACACTTTTAAAGGGTAGAAAAATACACATTTTGGAGATAATAATAATTTAAACTTTTTTGTGTGTGTGAAAAGGACTCTAATGGTGTATTTCTAAAGGCAGATTTTTTTCCCCCATAGTACTGCCTATTTATTTTCTGAGGGCTCTTTAATGTGAATTCGACATAAAGAAATGTATAAGTAGTACACGTGTTACTGACTCCTCTTTGTCTTTAAGAAGCCCAGTCAATAGTGGCATTTTTCATCCTCGTGAAATGCATTTTTGGTACAAATCACGTTAAAAATAAAAATGAGACAATAAAGCTTTCATGTGGCTGTTTATAGGCTAGAAAGATACTGAGAAACTGTGAGTGGGAAGCATTCCGAAATATTTAGTAAGAGTTATTCTCTAACACTTATTAGCTACCGGCACATAAATCTGGCTGAAATCAATACTTAATATATTCTCTCTGCCCTATTCTGTCTTGCGTGGTGGTCAGGGCATGTGAAATATACAGATGATTAGAAGGTAAAATATTCTTGAAGTACTTTTTAAAGTGGCACTAATAACGTTATAGCTAAAACTGTTAATTCTCCCTGATTAAAACTTGCATGATAAAAAGAGATGGATGACATCCAGCGGGGTGGCACACCTTATCAGAACACTAATTTTTCTCTTTACATGTGCCTTTTCTTAAGCTACCCAGACACTTGTGTGCTAGTGTGTCAATTTAATGTTATTCCTGTCAGTTTCTAGAAAAAAATCATCTGAATAATGTAGAAACATTAGTGACAGTAATTATTCCAGAATCTGTATTCATTTGGATATATGCTTAGGATCAACCTTTAGAACCTTACAACAGTTAGGAAAAAAATTGGGAAAAAAACCTCCAAAACAAAACCAAAAAGCCCTGGAACAAGATTGATTGGCCTTGTGTTGCTCATTTCAGAGCAGAGTAGATTTTAATTCTACGTTCTAGTCCAGATCTACTGAAGTTGTGGGAAGGATGCCCATTGCTTTTACTGGGCTTTTGAGCAGACTTTTACACCTTTGCTTGTCCTCTAGCTGGAGTATGTGTTGAATGGACATTTGGCTACCTTGCCTATAGCAGGTTCAGAAGGTTAAAGCATTTCAAGGCAACAGTGGATTTTGAGGGAGGTGAGATGGAGATTTGTTTGCACTTTGCTACCTTTATGCAAAGTAATGAGTCTGCTCTCAGAGACCATTCACACGGGCTGTTCATGTGAAGTAGCTGTCAATGCACATGTTAGCGTGCTGAAACTTTGACTTCCCCATTTGGACAACCTTGAAGTAAAAGACAAGAAGCTGTAGATGGATACAACAAGCAGATTGTGGAGTGTAGGAAATGATGAGACAACACCAGCAGTCGTGAATATCAAGATCACAGCTTGCCAGCTGTCCAGTCATTGTGGAGTTTTTTGTAAGCATCACAGCAGATAATAATCTTAAGGAGGATGTGATGGTAGCTTTGAGGTATTAAAGGGTTGCTTTTCCCATGTGTGTCAAAGGGTAAAGAACAAGAAACTGGTCTGAACCTACAACAAATGGTGATAAAGGCCTATGTTTTTGTCAAACTGAGCTAAAATTCAACCCTTCAATAATGTATCAGAGGCAAAAGTTTTTCTTTGTTCATTAGCACTAAAGCATTCTTGTTTGTTCCTTTAGAACTGCAGAAAGACGAAGCAGAAGATACACAGTCAGAACAGGAAGAAACATTTATGTCTCCACCAGTTGAGGATCCTGAGTTAAATATCAATCACCCTTACTATGATGTTGCAAGGCATGGCATCATCCAATTAGCAGGTATGTTTGGAAAAATACTATGGCTTCACGCTTACTAGACCCCTTACCACATTTTTCTTACTCTACTCCTCAAGGTTACACACAGGAATCATGTTGATGCGTTCAGCCTTCATCCTGAAAAGCAGCTGAATAGTAATATGTGAACTCAGTGCTTTCCTACAGATGAATTATGAGTCAAATATTTGAGCTTAATCTTGCTTTAAAATATAGCTATAGCAATATATTATAATCTAAGGCCTCTCTGTGGCTGTAACAGATCTGTACTTTATTTGTGATAAGCTGTTTTGTTTTCTGAATAACTTGAAGTGTTGTGTAGCCACACGTAATCATTTTTCTAGTCTGCCCTGGAAAGGGCATGCAACTGTGAAGAGATACGGGTTACACTACAAAAGCTAATAAAAGGCAGAAAGGAAACTGTTGACGTAAATGTTAACTGCATTTATCACCTGACTTTCTGTTGTGACACGGAGAAAAGCTATGGGTACATAGCATATTTGAATATGGGATCATTTAATGTTTACAGTTATTTATTTTTAAAACCTTCTGGCAACGTATAAGTCAGGCAGGCATATTTATGATATAAAAGCACCTCTTTAAAGTATGCATTGCATTATTTTTTTCCTTTTGGCTTATTTTTGGCATCAATGTGCTTGTTAAAATAGCATTAATAATCACAATCCTGAACTAAAGAAATGTATACAAACAAATAGTGTCTTTAACACTGCTCATCCTAATGAAGTCTAAGATTGTGTTATATTGTGCATGCTTTTTGTACCTCATACTTCAGTGAGCCTAGATTATGATTTTTGAGGAAAATGGTGAACTCAGGTTGTACATATGTACCTTCTAGAATCTGAGCCATAAACAGGGTGTGAATGTGAACTTTAGCAAAACCAGTCCTCTAGTAAGGTATGGTTGACTAGGGCAGTAAAATCTGTGGTAATTTGACTTCTGACTGTAATGGGAGGAGAAATTTGCCCATAGTAACTTCTCTTTTTGAAGCTAGTTATACACAGGATAATAATTACCATTTCACCTTCTTCAAAACTAACCCCCCAACATAAGACTCAAATCCATAAACAAGGGAATAACAGATTCACATTCTTGCGATTCAAAAGCTACTACCTGCTAACCCACCAGGATGTTTCTCACTCAAGCACCAGTTTGGGGATGGGGGAAATACCAAGATAGAAAAGTTTTTCATGAAACCATTGAAGTCCAACTGACAAAGTGTGAAATGAACGTGTTAACAGACACACTGGATACACCAGAGTCACTATAACTGTCCACCTAAGAACCTCTCCCATCTGCTGTACTAGGCAGTGCTACATGATAATGCTTTAAAAGACATCTTCAAGACATTTTTCCTCCTGCTGGTATACTCAACATCAGATTGTGGTGGGTCATGTATTAACTGCTTCAACTTTAATCGTGCACAACTATTTAGTAAACATTTGTTGTTGCTCCTCATTCTTTGTTCACTCAAAGCTGCCCTGGAAGTCATGAGCACTTGATATTTGTCTGGCTTAGCTGGTGTTAATTAAGGGTCCTTGTGTGTTTATTTTCCTTGGAGGAACCATCGTCTTTTCTGCAGCTATGGGCAAAGCTGCTGGGTGATGAGCTGAAACCCCTGAGTCTGTGCTTAGGCTAAGCTCCTCTTCTCCATCCGTCCATACTGGGGCAAAAGGGGACAAGTGGCAATCTTATGGGTCAGTCAAGGAGAACTTACTAAGACATTCCCTGCTGATTAAAATAAATAAATAAAAGTTACTTATTACCAAGGCAAACAAAAACTGTAATGTTCATTGTCTCAGAAGGACTCTGTCATTTGGTTCAGAAGAGTTTAAATGGTGGGGGAACTCAAAAAAGGGGAGAATTTTGGAATGAGAAGATGAAATTTACTGGAACGGCTCCTTTTAAAAATTCGTGCTTTTACGGATGGTAAAACAGAAGACGTGGTGGGGACAGACCGATAACCAGCCTGCCCCTTCCCAAGCAGTCCCACCTGGCTTTGTCGTATGGGTATGCCTTATTCTTGTGTTATAGAATGGGAATGTGCTTCAACATAGTGGAGTGAAAACCACAGTGTTTTTTGAGGAGACCTACCTGTAGCTTTCACAGTTTCATCTTGGAACTTGCTCCATATCAGTGTTTGCTTGGAATAAAGTCCAAACATTAGGTATATTCCTGGTTTAAATTCCCCAGAGCAAACATAGGTATTTGCAAGATGAATCTTGGCTGAAACATTGGATTATCTCTGATGGTTTTGTCCTTAATAGTGCA